TTCTCACGCGCTCCAACGTGCTCACGCTCTGCTGGAGGAAGAAGACGACGGAGACAGAGTGAAGAAGAGTTAAGTTAAATAATATAACTTGAGTTTTGAAAACAAAGGAACTTGTCTGGCAAAGTGGTTGACTCTCTTTTCTAAATTCCAAGGGCCAACGTTCGAAACTCGACAGCCGCACTTCAAAACTATTTTTTGTTTTCACTAGCCAGCGACCGAGCAGAGCCGCCAAGCTGCTGACGTCATCTGAACCAAAAAATTATCTGGTGTTTCTCAGAAGTCCCAGATTCTGCCGATCTGAGCCGTTCAATTATTTTTTGCTAGATCTAAGCCGTTTGAAACCCATTTTTAGTGATCCAATAGTGCTTTCCAACTATTTGGAATATTCTGGACACATCTGTACGGTCAGAATTCGCAAATTCCATTCTAAAAATTTTCAATTTTTTAAAGACAACCAATAGCCAACACAAACAACTTCTTTCAGCCCCAGTTTCCAAAAATCAACAAGGAGAACTATGAAAATTGGAGTATTCAAATGCAAGTCCTAATAGCCTCACAAGATTTGTGGGAGTTAGTGGATTGAGGATATGACGAGCCAGCTACTCTCGAAGATGAAGGAAGTTTAAATGATGCTCAGAAGACGGCATAAAGAGACTTAAGGAAGAGAGATAAAAAGGCCTTGTATCTACTTTATCAAGGCATTGATGAGTCAAGTTTTGAGAAGATTTTAGCAGCAACAACCTCTAAAAAGGCATAGAGTATTCTTCGCAATTCACATCGTGGAATTGAGAAGACGATCAGAGTTCGACTCCAGGTGTTACGTGGCGAATTCGAGATGTTGCACATGAATGAAAATGAGTCAATTTCTGAGTACTTTAACAAAACATTGACCATTGTTAATCAGATGAGAAGACAAGTTCGAGCACGTGGTTGTAGCAATAGAAGAGTCCAAGGATCTCAGTGCCATGACCACCGATGAGTTGATTGGCACACTTGAGATTCATGAACAAAGGATCAACAAGAAGACTCCCTCAAATTCCCTAGAGCAAGCTTTTCAATCAAAGCTGTCTTTTAGAGATGACAGAAACAAGCAAGGGGGGACATCACAAAGAAGTAGAGGAAGAGGTCGTGGTTGCAATAACCAAAGTTCTGGTTTTCGAGGAAGAGGCGGAAGAGGTCCAGCCAGATGAGGAAGAAGTCAACCACACTTTGCTCCAAGAGGAAGTGCAAGTGGTAGAGGAGGTAGTTACAACAACCGAACGGGAGTTAACAAAAGCAATGTTTAGTGCTACTAGCGCCACAAGTTCGGGCATTATAACAATGAATGCCGAAGTAGAGCAACAACAGAAACCGAAGAGCAAGCAAATTTTGCTGAGCAGGAAACAAACAAAGTTGGACCTACAGTCCTGTTTGTCCACCATGGAGACATTGAAAACCAAAACAATGTTTGGAATCTAAATTCAGGAGCCAGTAATCACATGTGTGGTAAAAGAGAGTTGTTCGTTGAGCTTGACGAGACTGTACAAGCACAAGTCTCATTTGGTGATTCTTCAAAGACTCCAGTGAAAGGAAGAGGTAATATTCTGATCAAGCTCAAGAATGGAGATCATGATTACATCTCCAATGTTTATTATGTTCCTGTCATGAAGAATAATATTTGGCATATGGGACAACTCCTAGAGAAAGGATACGACATCAGCATGAAAGCTTGCCGTCTTACCATCAAAGACAATCATGGTAATTTGATCGCTCGGGTGAGAATGTCTAAGAATCGGATGTTTACATTGAACATCCAACATGATGTTGCGAAGTGTTTAAGTGCCATCATCAAAGACAAAGACTGGATATGGCATTTGAGGTTTGGACATCTCAATTTTGGAAGCTTGAAGCTGTTGTCAAGCAAGAATATGGTGAAAGGGCTCCCTCATATTGCTCATACTAATGAAGTCTGTGAAAACTGCATTCTTGGCAAGCTCATAGAACTAGCTTTGCCAAAGAAGTGAAGTGGAGAGCAACGAAGCCGCTGGAGTTAGTGCACACTGATGTGTGTGGTCCATTGAAGCCAATGTCAAATGGACAGAATAGATATTTTTTCACCTTCATTGATGATTATAGCCGAAAAATATAGGTGTATTTTCTTAAAAGAAAGTCGGAGATGTTCAGTATTTTCAAAGAATTCAAAGCTTTTGTAGAGAAGCAAAGCGGCTACTACATCAAGACTTTGCGATCAGATCAAGGTGGAGAATATACATCAGATGCTTTCAAGAATTATTACAAAGAGCATGGAATCAAGCATCAAACAACACCATCCTATACACCACAGCTAAATGGTGTTGCTGAAAGGAAGAATCGTACAATCTTAGATATGGCAAGGAGCATATTCAAAGGAAAGGGACTGCCCAAGCAATTTTGGGCTGAAGCCGTATCATGTGCTGTATATTTGTTGAACAGATGTCCAACCAGGAGCCTTCATTCTATGACTCCAGAAGAAGCTTGGAGTTCACATAAGCCAAGTGTCAACCATCTCAGAATATTTGGGTGTGTTGCGTACACCAAGATTCCAAAAGCAAGAAAAACCAAGCTCAATGATAAGGGAGAAAAATGTATCCTTGTCGGATATGGAGATAGAACAATGGGATACAAGCTATATAATTCCATTACCAAAAAGGTGATCATGAGTAAAGATGTGATATTTGAAGAAGAAGAAGCTTGGAACTGGAATCAAGATGAAGTTGTTTAAGATGCACAACTCATTCTTGAAGATGAAACATCAAAAGCTCCGGTTGAAATCACAAGAGAAGTTCAAGATGAGCCACAAACTCCTCCACATAGAATACCGACACCTAAATCGCCAGTTTCTCACAGAAGTGCTGCATCATCATCATCATCAGCATCATCAGATGATAGTTTTTTCAAACAACCAAGACCAATGAGAAATTTACATGAGATATATGAAGCTACAGAAGAAGCAGGTCTGAATTTGTTCTACCTACTTGCAGATAGTGATCCACTTACCTTTTCAGAAGCCATCCAAGAAGATAAATGGAAGAAAGCAATGGATGAAGAAATTCATGCCATTAAAAAAAATGACATATAGAAGCTTACCAGTCTATCGGAGGGGCACAAACCCATTGGAGTGAAATGGGTATACAAGACAAAGAGGAATGCACAAGGCGAAGTGCGACGCTACAAGGCGAGATTAGTGGCAAAAGGTTACAAGCAGAGAGCTGGAATTGACTATGGAGAGGTGTTTGCTCCAGTTGCCCGGTTGGAGACAATTAGGCTAATGGTTTCTTTTGTTGCCCAGCACAAGTAGCAGATTTATCAACTTGATGTGAAATCTGCATTTCTTAACGGTTTCCTTGAAAAAGAAATTTATATTGAACAACCTTCGGGGTATGTTCAGAATGTGCATAAAGACATAGTGTACAAATTGAAGAAAACACTTTATGGATTGAAACAAGCTCTGCGTGCATGGAATACTAGAATTGATCAGTATTTTCATGACAATAGTTTGAAAAATGTCCATATGAGCACGCGTTATATTTGAAGAAGGAAGTTGATGGAAGCATATTGCTTGCTTGTCTTTATGTTGATGATCTAATTTTCACCAGAAACAATCCAACCATGTTCAAAGACTTTAAAAGAAGCATGGTCTAAGAATTTGAAATGACAGATATTGGATCGATGGCTCATTTTCTCGGCATTGAAGTGGCACAAAGAAAAGATGGAATTTTTATTTCCCAAAGTGGCTATGCCAAGGAATTCTCAAGAGATATCGAATGGAGAATTGCAATCTAGTGAACACTCCTGTAGACAGTGGAGTGAAGCTCAAAAAAAGTACAAAGGCAGGTGATGTGGATCCAACTTATTTCAAGAGCCTAGTTGAAAGTCTTTGATATCTTACTTACACCAGGCTAGACATACTCTATGTAGTAGGACTGATTAGCAGATATATGGAAACACCGGATCAGTCACACCTTTATGCAGCAAAGAGGATTCTTCGCTACATCAAAAGTACAGTCGATGATGGTTTATTCTATAAACCAACTAATAATTTTAGTCTTGTTGGTTACTCAGATAGCGACTGGGGATGTGACTTGGATGAACGGAAAAGTATTACGGGATTTACTTTCTTTATGGGAGATACAACCTTCACATGGTCGTCCAAGAAGCAAGCCATTGTGACATTATCGACTTCCGAAGCTGAGTATGTTGCAGCCAACTCAGCTGTGTGCCATGCAATATGGTTACGGAACATGCTGAAGCATTTGAGATTTCCACAAGAAAAACCCACTGAGATCTATGTTGATAATCGCTCAGCAATTGCATTGGCAAGTAACCCAGTTTATCATGAAAGAAGTAAGCATATTGACATCCGCTATCATTTCATCCGAAAGCATGTGAAAAATAAAGAGGCGGAATTATTTCCTTACAAATCTCAAGATCAGCTTGCAGATATTTTCATGAAGCCATTGAAAAATGATCTGTTCAACAGAATGAAGAGAATGCTCGAGATAAAGTAGCATGGAGAATCAAGATTAAGGAGGGATGTTGTGAAGTAATCTTGCTTCACTATAAAACAATTTCCACCGGCCCAAGAACCAGCCTAAGAGTAGAATGGAGGCTGCAAATCAAGATTGTCAAAAGTAGCAGCTGCAAATCAAGTTTGTCGTTTGAAATTTGTTGCCTCAACCGTAGTTACATTTAATGTGTTCACATTGTTAGTTTTATCTATATATAGCTATTGTATTATGATAGTTCAGTGTGTGTGAAAAAGAAGAGAGTTAGAAAGTTTTTCTTCTCCTCAGTGGATCCTAAATATTTGAGTTAAATAATCTGTTTTTCTGATTATACATTCTCTCTCTCGTATTTGTTTTTATTTTGTGAACCACCATAAGTGGTTTGCACCGCATTCCCACCAACAAATAATGCTCAACATTAAAAAAAAAAAGTCCAAAAAATAAACTAGAGGAGTGAGAACAAAAACAAACCGCCATTTTATTCACAACTCGACCTCATAATTAACTATAATGAAAGAACAAAACAAAACAGTAGCAAAATTAATCCCAAAAAAAAAAAAAAAGCCAAAGAAAACAAAAAAACAAAAACACTGGGCAAGATAGAAACTGCTCTCAAAACACTTTCCACCTCTTCTCCTCTCCTTCATCACCACCTTTTTCCTCAATCAAAATCCATAATCATTTCATTTTCAAAGCTCCTCATAACCTTGGGCATCCATTCATCCTCCTCCTTCATCTTCACCTCCTCCTCCTCCACCCTACTCGGTGATGGCGCCTCGGGTGGTGGCAAAATAACCGACTCCCCCTGAGCATTCATCATCTTCTTGAACTTCTTCTCCGACACCCCGAAAGAAGCCGCAAACTCGGGACCCCTCATGCTGTGAAGAACTGAGTTTGATCCCACGAGGAACTGCGGCTTGTTCTTCCTCGACGAGGTTGTGAACCCGAAGAACTCAAAAGAGCCTTCTGGAGAGGCTGTTTGGCAGAATGGGAAGTACTGCGGAACCCAGAACACGTCTCCTTCTTTCACCATGGCATTCATGGCTAGGGTTCCGTTTGGAAACACTACTTGGATTGTACCTGTTCCTTTCAACACTATTCCATACTCTGTTGCTGTTGGATTTATGTGTGGTGCCATCATTGCTCCCTATGTTACAAACACAAGACATAAAAGAATAGTTTGGTTGAGTTCTAATAATTTTTTTTGAAAAATTAGAAATTAATTTGATAAAAATAAATATAAAAAAATATTATATATTTGGGTAAATTACAAATACACCTCTTGAGATTTGCTTAAAGTACAGATTGCCTCATGTGATTTAAAAAATTACAAATATCCCCTTGTTAGTATTTTTATTTAACAGAATTCACTAAAAAAATGAAATTCATAATTGTTCTCCTATACAATAATAAAATTATGAAAATTATTAATTGAAATATATTTCTAACATCATTAAAAACTATTAATTGACTTGATGATTTATTAATAAAATGGGCGATTTGTTATAAAATTAGAAATCTTAGGGATGAAGTGTAATTTTTAAAACCACAGGGAGCGATTTATATTTTAATCAAACCTCAGGGGGTGTATTTGTAATTTACCCTATATATTTTTGATATTTTGAAAATTACAGTCACCCATAAACAAGAAAATTATATGAAAATAATAAGTGGTTTTTTTTTTTAACTAAACTAATTTTTTTAAAATTTTGACAAATAGATTTAGAAAACTTAACCAAATTGTAACACGGTTTTAAATAACAAAATCGTATCGATAATTCAATCATTTATCAGCAGGTATATTATTGAATATCTCTATTAAAAGATAAAAACCCCAATACATATCGGCCAATATTTTGGATTCTTTTGATTGCATTGTAATATTTTTTAGGCATATTTTTATTTTTAGTAATTTTTAAAAATTTTAGATTAAAATATTTTATTTTTTAAATTTATCTAAACTAGATCATCCTAAATTGGGGGAAAAATAAAAATAAAAACATAAATAAGCCAACTTTTACAAAACTTGGCTTATTCTATAGTGAACCTTTTCAAAAAAAAAAAAAGTGTTTGATTTGAGTTTTTTTAATTAAGTTTTTTGAAATTGAATTTTTTGGTTTTCGTGTTTTTTTGTTTTTAGTGAATATTTTTAAATTTTAAAAATTTTAAACATTTTTTTTTCCTTTTTTAGATGCACCTTACTTAGATGTATCTAAAAAGTAAAAAATTTGTAAAAAAATATTTTTAAAAATTAATAAATACATAAAAATACAAAAAAATATACTGAATTCTCATATTTTTTTTTGTATTTTTGGTATTTAGTGAATTTTTAAAAGGTGTTTTTCAAAATTTTTTTACTTTTTAGGTATATGTATGTTAGGTATATTTAAAAATTTTAAAAATTGCTCAAAATATTTTAAAAATTCAGTAAAAACAAAAAAATACGAAAAATAAAAAAATAAAAATTTCTGAAAAGTGTTTTTGAAAAATGATAACCAAGCATTATTTTTTAAATTTTTAGATCATGTAGACTGACCAAAAATATATTTTTAAAAAATGACATATTTTCTTTTTTAAAAAAAATTTACTACAAGACAAAAATGAATCAAAAAATGGTGAGCATGTACGAGAGAAGTCCAGTAACGGCGAGTATGGAAGTGACTAATTACCGCGGTGAGATTAACCATATAAAGGCCGACGCCAGAGTGATGGAGAGGCTTATAATCAGACTCATCAAGAGCAATGCTCGAACCGTAATTGTTCTTGAAATCCGGATGCTTGCTGTAGAGGTTGTAAGAGTGCGGCGACTTGCTTCTTGTGTTATCATCTCCATTGATTTCATTTCCAAAAACAGAACCCAATAGCTTCCTCAATGACCATGTTGTTGGTTTATCATCATCATCCTCTTTTTTAGTTGACTCTTCTTGGAATCTCACTATTCTCTTCAAATGATGCACTCTCTCTTGCTGTTCTAGCTGCAAGAACTTTGTCCATATGTTTTGTACCGGGTGGTGTGAATCCGATAAGTATACAATCGGGCCTGAGTCCTGCCTTGTCATGAACTCCTTCAGATCTGATGTTGAGACCTGTAATTAACATTGATTTAGAGTCAATTTTTTTTTTTTTTAAATTATAAATTTTAAGATGTAAAGATCAATGTAAGTTGTTATGATTTGCTTACGTTAAATGCGGTCGACAAGGTTAAGTGATCGAACCCAGAAAGAACAGATGTTGGATAAGTTCCTCCTCCGATGAAGAAAGACTGCAGAGACATTAAGAAAAGGGCAAACATTTCGGTAAATTTTTGGAACACTGGCATAGACATTAATGCTATAGACTTAGAAAAAAAATATTTCATGAAAATAATCATAAAAGATTTTTTACCCTTAGATTAGATATACAATAAGTTACAAAGTGTAATACAAGGATGGAAATTTATTCATGATCATTTTCATAAAGCATTTTTCATAATACTTAGCATTTTTCAAAAAGTATTACGGTATATTAACAAGTAGTGTATCAGTTTAATTATTAATTGTCCCGTGTTCAAATCGTCCTTATTTTTTCTCAAAACGATTGCATGTCTCTTAGAATCAAACTCACGACACACAAGTGTAATGCGCAATAAATTAGTAAATATTTGTCGATGACCTAATAATGTACCTGGAAATGGCCCCATCCGAAGGTCTCAGGTTTGTCTATGCTGCAAACGATATGAAGTCTTTGGTCCTCGCCGGTGTTAACCAAATAGAATGCAGAACCGGCCGGGATTCTATACACATCTCCGCTCTTCAACCGCTTCTCCACCATTTCATCTTTGTATATTGAACCAATTTTTGCTTCCCCTATACAACCACCCTCAAAACAAGTCAATGTTTTCAAGAAAAGCATGCATGATAAAATTATATAGTTACCATCATCAAATCATCTAATTTCTCAAACGATTTATATGCACTAAAACTTCAAAATAAACAGATTCATAGCGGCCCCCATAGGCATATTGGATGGTTCCGGATTGTCCAGCTGGGTATATATGACCATCAAATACTCTAATTTGTAGGTACTATATTGTGCAGGCATGGGAAAATAAATTTTTATTTTATATATTTTGAAAAATAGATGGTGGGTATAAGTATATCAAAATAATGTAGTAACAACATTCTTGTAATTATAAATCAAAATAGTAAATGTTTTGATTGAAAACAAAATTATCATAAAAAGTCATGCTATTCTATATATAAACTTTCCAAAAAGTTTATTATCTCAGATTTTCAATCAAAAATTAACTCTGATGGTTTAAATCTATGGTCCATATTTACAGTTGTTATTGTAGGTCATGCTGTGAACAAATCTTGACTCTCGATTGTTAATTCTTGACTCTCGATTGTTAATTCTGAATAGATATCTGGGTTTTCATTTCTAGTTCCTAGAACTGTTCTAAACTTTTTATATAAAATTTTTATTTACATAATATTATTCGTTTTTGAAAGAGTAATGCTACATCTCCATTTTGGACCCTCAATGACATGGCAAATACTCGTTGAATAGTTTTTATATTTTAATAAGATTTTTAAGTGATATAACTTATGACACATCACTTGAGATTGGCTTGAGAGTCCAAAATTGGAGGTTCAAAACGTTTTCTTTTTTGAAATAAGAAGATAAACGGAATAGTATAAAAAAGCTATGAAATATAATAGCTAAACAATTTTTATTTTATTTTTTATATTTTTTTGAGTATTTTTCTAGATAAATTTTCTGGGAATTGCTGATGGATATTACCTTTGCGAAGGAAGAGGATCAAGTTGGAATCAAGGTACTGAGGAATGAAGAGAGACTTGGGTTCCATGGTAATGAAACCAACATGCATAGGCCTTTCCATAGTAGCCCTTCTTCCTCCAAAACCCTTCACCATCTTCATCTCCCCTGCATCAGTCTTCACCACATGCCTCATCTCTGGCAACAAAAACATCTCTTCTTTTCCTCTCTCTCTCCTCCCTCCTCCTCCTCCTCCTCTCTCTCTCCTCCCTCCTTCCACTTCATAACCACCCACCATTGCCACTGCATAACACATCACCACCAGCACCAACACAGCCATTCTCTTCCCCATCTCTTCTGCTCTTTCTCTTAAAACCAGTGTGTAATGTGATGTGTGGAGAGACTGGTGGGGAGAGGTGATTTATGTAGGGAAGAGAGGAGGGAGAGATTGAGGGTGATAACTGACACGTGTCAGTGATGCAGCTTTTCTTGGGTTTGTTGGCATTTGATAGTATAGACACAGTCGAGATCTGGTGAGAGATGTTCGGTCACCTCGACCAAGTCTTCAAGTTTTTGTATGACGACATTTTGCATTTGGTTTAGACACAATTACTCTTTGTTTAGTTTATACATTTAGATAATTTGTTTTCCTTTTAAATTTGATTGAAAGGAGATTCACCAATAAATCTCAAATGTTAAATTTATGAGCCAATTGGTCTCAAGTTTTTTCTAATAAATTGTTTAGTTTTTGGATATTTTGAGGGACCTTAATGCCCTCATTTAGATGCTATTAGATGCATGCTCTTTATGAGGGTGTGTCACGTGACACACACAATGGGTGTCACGCATCAACAAAGTACACTAAGACTCTTTATGAGGGTGTGTCACGTGACACACACAATATGTCACGTGACACGCACAATGGATGCCACACATCAACAAAGTACACTAAGGCTCTTTATGCATTTTGTCTTGGAGTGTCACATGACACACACAATGGGTGTCACACATCAACAAAGTACACTAAGGCTCTTTATACTTTTTGTCTTTGAGTGTCACGTGACACACACAATGGGTGTCACACATCAACAAAATACACTAAGGCTCTTTATGCTTTTTGTCTTGGAATGATGTATGTCACGTGACATACACAATGGGTGCCATACATCAACAAAGTACACTAAAGCTCTTTATGCTTTTTGCCTTAGAATGATATATGTCACGTGACACACGCACGGAAGAGTATAATTGACCAATCAATGTTACCAAACAAAGGAAATAAGATCAACTGATAAGATATTTCTCCACTAATAGGATTAATCAGAACAATAGAAATAACCTTAGGATCAATCGGTAAAACTGTTTGTGAGATAGAATTTATTGGTAAATAGCCTTTTATTGAATTCATTATCTAAACACAATTTTAAAAAATTGTTACCTACGATGATGATTTCATATCATGGTTTTGTTTCGCTTTCTCTCTAAGAATTTCAGTTCAAAAAGCCTTAGGACTCAGATTTTCGGTCAGGAAAATTATCCAAATTGTGTATTAAGGGTTGAGATTTAAGTATTGTTTGTATGGCCTATGCGTAGATTAAATTTAAATTACACATTACTATTTCTAAATAAAAATTTTGGGTTTATACTATAGTTGATTTCAGTTTTATGTTAAAATCATGAGCTAGAAAAAGTATTTCCTTCAAAAAAAATGTTATAGTGGTTACATTCTTTATCATAATTTATTGAAAAAATGCATTTATAAATTGGAACAATTCAATTGTATTTTTACAGAGGTATATGTGGGAGTGAGTAAGAATTATATCTTATACCAAAGTTTTTACTTGCACTGAATACATGTTCACTTGGACTTCTATTAAAAAAAAATATAGTTACTTTAAATTATTTTCACTTAAATAAGTTTTTAGATTTATTTCCTACTTCATACCTCATCATATTTTCTGAAAATGTCTAGACATTTAAAAAGCTTGTTAAAATTGTGAAAAATAAAATTGACATACAACAATTCTTGGTTTTTTTTTTTTTTTTTCGTTTAAGGTAACTCATGAGAAGAAACTAAGAGCGCTTAAAAGAGGGAGCTTCAGTTGAGTTTGTGCAGTTGATGAATGAGTTTCATTCTAATGGAAAGTTAGCCCAAGAAATAAATAGTTCATTCATTACCTTAATTCCCAAGAAGGAAGATCCTGTGGGGTTGGGGGATTACAGGCCAATCAGCTTGATTACCTCCGTATACAAAATCATAACTAAAGTCTTATCAAGAAGGCTGAGGAAAGTGTTGCCTAAGATCATTAGTGAAGTTCAAACTGCATTTTTGAGTGAAAGGCACATTATAGATGGGGTTCTAATTGCCAACAAAGTGGTGGACTGGTGGAAAAGGTCAAAGAAGAAAGGTCTCATCCTAAAGCTGGATTTTGAAAAAGCGTATGATTCCGTAAATTGGGAGTTCTTGTACTCAATGATGAAAAACTTCAGTTTTGGAGAGAAATGGGTGGGGTGGATGAAGACTTGCATATCCACAGCTCGAATTTCAGTGCTTGTAAATGGCTCACCAACTTCTGAGTTTTCTCCCATGAAAGGGCTTAGGCAAGGAGATCCGCTCTCTTCTTTTCTCTTTAATATTGTAGCGGAGGGTCTGAACATTCTATTGGAAAGAGCTAAGGAAGTGGGACTGATTAGAGGAGTATCCGCAGGACCATAGTAACTTTTTGGCTAATTGGCTAAAATAGTCTCTTGCTAAACGAGGCCTGAGTTGAAAATTACACACTTACAGTTTGCCGATGATACCATTATTTTTTGTGAAGCGGAGTGGGAGGAAGTTGTAGCCGTGAAAAGAATTTTAAGGTGCTTTGAGTTGATGTCTGGACTCAAAATAAATTTCCATAAAAGCAAGGTATGTGGGGTAGGTGTGCAGGAGGATATTGTCCAGGTCTTTGCAAACAAACTAAATTGTTTCAGTCAAAAGTTGCCAATGAGCTATCTGGGGTTACCATTAGGTGCAAATCCAAGGAAAAAGGCTTCTTGGAAACCTGTGGTAGACAAATTTAAGAGCAAGCTAGCTTCTTGGAAGAGAAGGTATTTATCCTTTGCGGGCAGAGTAACATTGATCAAGTCCATTATGTCAAGTTTGCCAGTATATTTTCTATCAATCTTCAAGCTGCCAGTGGGCATTGCAAAAGCATTACATAGAATTCAAGCCAATTTTCTTTGGGGAGGGTCTAAAATCAGGAAGAAAGTGCACCTAATTAACTAGAAGGAGATATGCCTAAGTAAAACTAAAGGTGGGTTAGGTATGAGAAATCTAAGTCAGGTTAATGAATGCCTACTAGTTAAATGGTGGTGGAGGTATGGCAAGGAGGAGGCAACTTTGTGGAAACAAGTGATATGTCATAAGTATGGAGGTCTAGGTGGTGGATGGTGCCCATTTTTGTCTAGTCCAGTGTGGCTGTCGCATACGTGGAAAGATATAATATCAGTGGCTGTAGTTAACACTGCTCTGCGTAATTTCTTCTTGCAAAATTTCAAGTTAGTTGTTGGAAATGGTAGGAGGATGTATTTTTGGACTGATAGGTGGTGCCACAACCAAAACCTGAGTGTGTCTTTTCCCAGATTATTCACATTATCAGTTGATAAAGATGGAAAGTTGTTTGATTTTTTTTACCGAAGAGTGGCAGATTCATACTGGAATCTGGTTTTCAGAAGACCCCTTCTAGCATGGGAAGAGGAGGAAGTGCAAAGACTTAATGATCTACTATAGAGTGCGCCTAGGCTCAATGAAGGGGGTGGTAGATTCTTGTGCTTGGCTAGCCCACCCGTCTAAAGAGTTCACTGTGGCATCAATTTGGAAGTGGATGAAGCAAGTCAAGGGGTAGACTGTACAGTCACTAGGTGCATTTGGAACAATTTAGCCCCTCCCAAAGTTCAATTCTTGAGTTGGCTAGCATGGAGAGAAAGGATTAAATGTTCTGAATTTTTGCAAAGAATTGGAGTGTTGAGCCCAAATGCCTCTGCTCTCTGTGTGTTCTGCAGATCCGGGGTGGAGTCTATAAATCATGTTTTTCTACACTGTCCTATTATTTGGAAATTGTGGGCCAAGCTAGTGAACTGGTGGAATTATAAGTGGGTTATCCCTGGATCAGTGGAGGGATTACTTCTGTTGTGGTCAGGTATAAAAATGAAGAAGAAATTGCAAGCGATATGGAAGATAATACCACTAACAGTTATGTGGTCTGTGTGGAAAAGCAGAAATGATTGTTTATTTAATAAGGTATAACCAGATTGGAATGCATTGGAAGACCTGATAAAGGCTAGAGTTGCGTTATGGGTTTCTTCATCTTTGAAGGGGTTTAACTATTCGGTGCAAGATATTATGTATAACCTGAATCAAGTGTGTCTCTGTGCGTAATTCAGTGCTGAATTGCTGGTCTATAGGGATGGAATGATGATCTGGTTTTTGTGGCTGGTATGTTCTGAATTGATGTCCTCGGCTGGTTTGTGTTGGCTTCTGCTGGTTTGTCCTGAACCTTGGTCTGCTTTGTTTCTGTGCTGGTCCTGATTCAAGGTCTGGATTGTATTAATGAATTCTGAAATCTGTTTTGAGCTGGTGATCAAATGGTCCAGTTGGCTATGGTTGGGTCTTTGGTCTGGATTGTATTTTCAAGTCTCAATTCTGTTTGATTCAGTTGATAGAGTTGGCTGGGTCTATGCTTTGTTATGCTCTCAGTTGGGCAGTCCTGAATTCTGGTGTATTATTAAGTTTCAATTCTGTTTTGATCCAATTGTCAGACAGAGGAGTGTCCATCTGCATTCTTGGTATGCACTCAAAATTTGCAAAGATGGCTGGTTCAGAGGAGGTTGATTCAGAGTTTGCAGATTCAGCTCTAGTCTAATTGAATAATTAGAATATACTCCACAATTGGAGTGATGAATAGTGCTTGACAATTTTGAAGAATTGCGATGAAGCATTGCCAAAGAATGGGAAGGTGATCATTATAGACATTGTGTTGTCAGAGACTCCAGATTCTAGTTTTGGTGCTAAGTATGCAACCCAACTTGATAATGTGAGGTTACTTCAATTTGGAGGAAAAGAGAGGACTAAGAAAGAATTTGAGTTAGCTTCTGCTGGGTAGTTTGGGTTGACTATGCTGCTGGGTTGTTTGGTGCTTGAATTAGCTTCTTGATTTCACTAAAGCCTTTACTGCTGGTGCTAAAGTTAGCTTGAGTTGTTTGCTGGTGTGCTGAGTGGTGTGGGTTTCCAGTCATGGTCTGAATTTTGTGGCTGCCTATTCCTTTATCTCTTGGTTGCTGATCTATTATGCTTTTCTTCTTGTTTTCTTTGTTGGTTTC